CAACTTTATTGAAAACTGCATCACCTTCCTGTTATCATTTATCTCCATTAAGCTCTGAATGCAACAAGTACTAGTGATAGCCTTCAAGTTTACATATTCATATTCTGTCCACAAGTTCATGAAACCAGCATAATATTCCTAAATAGTTTTCTCCCCTTAACTATAGAAAAACATATCATACTCGATTTGGAAGCGTCTTGCAAGATTTGATTGCTGATAAAAATTTTCCAAATATTTCCACATTTCTTTCGCAGTATGGAAGCCTCTCATTGGCCTTCCAATAACCAAATCTACAAAGCCGAGGATCCATGAGATAATTTTTGCATTGTTGATCTTCTATTGTTAGGTATCTTTAATATTGGGTGTAGCCGGTTCAGGTTCAGTGCCATCAACATACCTCCACACCTTTCCCTTCAACAAAAAATTGAAAATGGAACAGCCAATTGGGATAATTTTTTCCATAAAGTTTTAATGCCAATGCAACTTCTTTTTCAGAAGCCATGTGTAAGTTGTATCAGAACTCACAGACGTGATCAAGAATTTAATATTATATCAAGAGTTTTGATATAATATGGTCCCTATGGACCACCACTTTTATTAGAAAAACGTAAAGAGATGAACAAGGAAGAGATAGATTCACGGATAAGGAGATCCACTAAAGATCGGCCAAAGATGCTTTGAGAACAAGTAAGAGAGAGATTTAAGTTGCGACCAGAGGAATCGAAAGAGAGATAGCAGCCTTGCAATTAGAGGAGAAAAAAAACTTGTTGCGGAGATTAAGAAGACAGCAAAACCACAAAAATCTTGGCTCACCAACTTGTTAGGCTAAGGCAATAAATATTCTTGCAACATGACTTATTCCGTGATGCAAAACTCTGCAAGAGCCCAAAATGGCAGGTACCTCTTTAGTCGGTGATGCAAAACTCTTTGCAACACATTGTTCACAACAAAAAAGATGAGAAAGCTTTGCAACAAAACAATTGCAAAACTTGTTGGAGTCTTTGATGGAAGCCTTGCAACAAAACTATTACAAAAAGATGACGTGCCCAAATCATGCAATATGCTCAAGTTTTGCAACAACCATTGAAACAAAGATAGGGAGAAAGATGTCTTCGACTTTTTCTATCTAGCGTGTGCTCAACCAACCAACAAATAATGAATGCTGCTGAAATAAGGAAATTCGGTAATGGAACAATCCACGGTCAGCAATAGATCTGCATGCTCTGATATCATGTTAAACTTCTGAATTCTCCACGAAAATCATTGTGTATTGGTTCATTAAGAATATACAGAGTCCCCTATACATATAGGGCTAATCAATTATTGATAATAATGAACTAATCTAAGTTTATCAAGAGAGATATCTACATCAAATACAAGATAAACTTAAAATTAAAAACTATCATCAACTATCTATATATCCTTGACTATCTCTATTATCTCTATCTCTACAGTGCAACCCTATGAAAATATTTTCCTATTCTAAAATGAGTAATGATCCTATGAGAACCTCCCACCCCCATGTGTGTAGGACCCCAAAGGATCACCATTAAATTTGGCATAGATCTATAAAAAAGTTATCACGTGGGTGTGGGACTTGACTTTTCTAGAGATCAATGCTAAATTTAATGGTAATCCTTTGGGGTCATACACACATGGGTGTGGGAGGGTCTCACAAGTTCATTTCCCTTCTAAAATATAATGTTGAAGTTTCCACTTAGGATTATATACAATAAAACCATTTACCTGTGGTGCACAAACGTCACAATTGCTTACAAGCATCCGATGTAAAATCTGAAGCTTGGGTGTGTCACAATGTTTGAGATTTTTTTTTTTTTTGAACTTTGAATTTGGTCAATGAAATAACTGTAGCCACGCAATTTTACATCCAATAATTAAGATTAATTGTGACTACCTTGTACCAAAGGTAAATGATCTCATTATATGCTTTCCCTTTCACTTATACCTCCTACAACTTTTCTTTTGTTTTTTGTTGGCTAATTTCTTCTTTCTCGAGCAATGAGGACACACGAATGATTTTGCCTTATCGTACATTTTTCTACCAATTCTTTGACACAAATGTTTTAGCATATAGTTAGGATCAAAATGGCCATTGAATTACTGAGAGATTTGGCCCAATCAAAACCGGTCAAACTACTGATCGAACCTATTAGACTGGATTTTAAAAGAAGAAACAAAAATTATTATAATAATTAAAAATATAAAATATATTAAAAATTACCAAACTTCATTTAGCTGGTTAATCATTGGTTTTATTCCAGCTAATCAAAACCGGTCAAACATTGATTTTGATTGGTTTTCAACTAAGCTCGGGTTTTACTTGGACCATATCGACTAAGGCACCGGTCAGTGGTTTGATCAGTCGTCTACCCGATCTTGATAACTATAGTTAGGATCACGAGTTCAATTTTGACCTTTGTGGGTCACACCTGATCCCCCTATCCTAGCTTACGCTAGGTCCAAGCCAATTGGGTTATATTTCACGAAATCCATTTTAAAAAATTATAAAACATTTGGGAGACCCAGACAATTTAAGGGCAATTTAGTTTGTTATTGCTAGTCTCCTAATCTTGTCGAAATCTGACAATTCTCGACTCAACAAATGATTTTTCAAAAATTGCTTAAGGTTTAGGAAGGCTCCAATTTCAGTAACCAAAATAAATGAAAGAAAGGGCTTGGTGGTAAAAAAGGACTATGTGGTCTAAATCAAACAAACATTTAGTCTTGGCGATGGGTTGGGTGGCCCAGCCCAGCTAAGCTTGGGCCCTGTCCAACATGTGGCCTTAAGATTGAGTCAGAAGTGCCTCGCCCATGTTCTTATAGGGTCAAGCAGTTCATGACTCAGTCTAGCCCAATCACATACACAATATGGTATGGGCTTAGGCTTAGTCTTGCCCAAACTTGGCAATGGGTCCGGCCCTTTGGCGGGTTTAGCCAGGGTATTGCTTGACATAGCCTGTTATGAGGAAATTAGGGCCTCCTTGACACTCCAAGGAGTCATATATCAATGTCTGAGACACTTGGTTGGCTAAAACGTATTAAAAAATAGGATACAATTTTTGAGTCCTAGGACTCATATGCACATATGCATTCTCTCTTCAAATTTTATTTTTAAATAGATTTTGGACATGGTTTCTAGGTATATATAATCTCTAAAAAAACAATAAAAATTAAAAAAAAAAAATTTTAAAAAAAAATTATAGACCATTGACTTTTATTTTTGTAAAGACTACCCCTAACATCTATCTTTAAGATGGATATCCTATGCCTTGGCAGATGCAAAAGAAAATATGCATCCCCCCGGCACATAAAGAACTTTCCATAAAAAATATTAGGACTTTATGGCAAAGTTTGAACTCGAGTACTTTCTAAACAAATGCAATGAAGTCTACCACCTATCCAACCACAATGTATATAAAATGCTATAAATAAGCATAATATTTTATTTATAAAATTAATTGTATGGATGTGTCGAGCTGTATTGAGTTTTAAAACATCATATTAAACATTTGTGACCCTCATAGATACAGACACTCGATCAATGTCCATATAATATTGAGGAAAAGAATGACATAGCATCTCACAAAGTTTCTCATGACCTACATGGCCTAAAAAAAATTAGACAGTCCACCAGTGCCTAAGATCTCCTTAATTCGTGTAAAAAGGATCATAGAAAATTTGCTTTTTGGGTAAAACAATGCGAAATTCGAACCCATAGGACATTGTGTTGTAGTTGAAAACTTTGGATATACGTTCAAGCCTAAGGAACTATTTGCAACAAATTAGATCAAAAGAATTGGTTTTCTTGTTTTCTTTTCTGTTTTTTTGTCTCCATTTGAGATTACTCAGTGATTCCCAACAAATTAGATCCAAAGAATCCTTCCTATTAGGCTCTTCTCACCAGGACGCAAAAGTACATTTCCTTCCTGAGGGAGCACGTTTTACAAGAATATGAGCCACTTGCCAGGTTTGAAACTCAAAACGGAAAAGATATCAACGTTTTGGATCGGAAGGTCCAAAAATGTAACCGATATTCACCACGCACGAAGCAGCAGCAAAATTTATGTGTACTCCGTGGGGCATACGCATGATGAATTTCTCGACTTGAAATATTCGGGCCAAACGATATTATACTACCGTGGGAGTATATTGTTTATTTAGTCTTCCGCATAAAACCTACCAAGAATTAATTTTAAGACCTCAAATTTTGGGGATGTAACCTCTTCAACCCTTAGGTTAACCTCAATATTTTTTTTTCTCAATTGCACGCTTTATTCACTCGAATAAATAATGCCTCAAGATTAATAAGAGACCATCCAATTTTTTTACATGGTGAGATCTAAGCATGAGAAAACTCGAATTTTAAATTTTCTCTTTTGAAAATAATCATCTACTGATTTTTAGGTGGCTCTCAAAATTTCAAATTGAAAAACTCCTCCTAAGCGAGCATAGTATGCGTGCTCAAAATTCGGTAACCTACAGGAGGATTTTCTTTTTAAAATAAAAAGTGGACTATGAGTACTCCAGTTGACCATCCAATAGCTAGACATGGTTCAATCCCAAGACATGGATTGTTATAAAGAAAAATATATAAAGAAACCATTTATTTTTTGCACAAAGAGGTTATAAATAACTCTTGTCCATCAAATTTCAAATCAAGTGGTTGTAAGTGTGTCAAAGTTCCAAAAAAAAAAAGAAAAAAATTCTCTAACTTCATAACAGACCTCAAACCATCTAATTTGACATCTAATGGCTAGGAGTAATTATGATTTCCTTGTAATAGAGATAAATGATCTCGTAGTATACAATCTTTTTTCAAAGTGCTTATCTAATTATTTTATTATGTTGGTTGTGAAGTTAGTATGCCATATGAAACGGTTGTCGCCTCAGAGGGAATGTACATTTTGTTCCATGGGAAGATAATATTTTCATGTAGGAAAAAAAAGAAAAGAAAAATAAGGTAAAATGAGGCTGCAAGCTTGAATTCCAAAGATAGTTCTACAGTCTCAATAACTGAGGAACCCTTCCCATAATATCATATAAAGATTAAAAGAAAACACAAAAGAAAAGTTAGTATTAAATGAGACAAAAAAAGAGAAGAAAAAAAGCAAGAGGACATTGATGCACAAAATCTCCCCTCTCCTTATTCATACAATGATACAAATAATGCATAAAACAAAGACACACGTGCATGACCTCAAATTAAGCATCACACGTGTGAGGGTTACTTCCCGCTTCGGCATGACCTCAAATTAAGCATCACACGTGCGAGCGGCCAAAGGGACTCTCGCCTAAGTAGTTACCGGGTGGGTAATAGTTGCAGTTGATGAAGACGGCTGTGGTGTTGCACTCCACGCGGGCGCACCCGAGCCTTGTGGTCTCGCGCCACACCACCTGGGTGTAGTGCCCGCACAACCTGCCCAGGCAGTGAGAATAAGCGTGAGAGAAGAGCAAGGACCAGCCTTCAGCCATAGAAATTTCTATGATCGCTCTAAAAATCAATTTTCAACACCAAAAATAAAATTTGGAGCTCATAAAATCATATAGATCTTGTGGATCTTTGAACACTTATTTTTAGGGTGAAATAGATCGGTCTAGACAAATTTTTAAAATATTCACTATTTTTAGAGCTTGAAATGGTATATTTTTTTTTTACAACTATAATGTTCGTAAAGATTTTCCAATGCTTGAATTGTAAAATTTGACTTATGAGGCGAAGCTTTACTTATTTTGATAGGGCTGCAGCCTTATCAAACCGTTTTCCTTTAACAACTGGGTGCGGTTTGTATAGAGCCTAAGCTATAAACAATCAAATTAGAGCCTATTTTCAAATACTGTCAAGAAATGTCGTTTTAATACTGGAAATTTTTGTGATAGCCTTAAAATATATTTTTATCTTTATTTATTAAGTTTAAAGCTTGAAAATCTTAAAAATTGATGGTCCCAAAATACGTTACAAAATACACTATTTTCAAAACTTGAAATCCATTTTTTCTCTTGTCAATGCATCTTGATGTCGAGATGATCAATTTGAGGACATTTAGACATCAAAACAACCTCTTTTAATAAAATTTTTAAGGTAGGCTTTAATTGTTTAGAGCCTCACCTCTATTTAAACTTTTCCCTTAATAAATTTCCCTGATGTAAAGTACGAACCAGGAAGGTACAATGAAGAAAAATAAGGGCACGTATTTACATTTTCAAAGTCAGCTCAAATTTTGTTAGAAGCGTTGAAAATACGGGAACCACGCAGGTCTACTCCACAAGTCCTGCATTATTGAAGAGGTTTTCCCAACCATATTTTTCCAAAGGAAAAAGTTTATATAAGGTTGGAGACTTATAAGTATAGAAGTAAGGAGCACCACAAAAATCTTGTAGAAAAGAGTGTTCTAAAGTTAGGAAACCTTCCAATTGATCATCTCAACCTCCAAATATATGGATATTAAGGAAAAAAAAAAGAATTTGTAATCCTAAAAACAGTGCATTTTATAATAAGTTATCTTATATAAACTATCATTTTTCAGAATTTCGCATATAGATATGCTTGATGTACACCATCTTTGAATGTTTAAATTTTATAATCAGCACTGAACATGGATTTTCAAGCCACTGAAAGGTTTTCCACACTTACACTACATCTTCTAGCAAAATTTAGAGATGTGCCTTACTTGTATAATATAAGGTGGGCGCCCTATACAAACCTCACCCATTACCAAATGAGTTTTGCCTATTCTATACCTTCCAATGTTCCAAAAATCAAACCGGCGTCCGAAACCAACCAAGGGCTGGTTTCGAGTAACCGATAAATTGACCGGTTCAACTGGCCTAACCGAACAAGTCCTGGCCAGTTAAAAACGTGAAAAAAATACAAAAGTACACAAAAATCTAAAGCAATATGAAAAATATATTTAAAGCATTATTAAACAAAACACAACCAAATGAAGTTGAAAATTAGTGAAAAAATGGACTTTAAAAAATCGATTTTGTGCTCAAGCGTATTTTTGAAATTTTCTAAAATAGATGGGGAAAATGTAAAAATAAATATTTATAGCCAAAACACTTTCTAATCTTTGCTAAAATGATAAAAAAAAAAACATTTAAAACAAATTTATAACAAACAAGTCCCTTATTTTATGGGATTTTATATAATATTTTTGAATACTTTTTAGAATACCTGTCAAATTACCAAAACCGGCCAAAATCTGAACCGATCAGGTTTTGATCTAACCGGTTGAACCGGCCGAGTTTGCAAAGACGGGTTCCTTCTTAATATTAACTCTAACTCAGACATGATGAGAATGAAATTCTAGACTTTACGTTGTGGGACCCGCTGCTCTTATCAACTTACCTAGAACCCATTCTCAAGAGTGAGATCATCCATTTCTTCGTGCATCTTTGTTAAAGGGAAAAGAAGTTTTCACCCGTCCAAAATTGAGTTTCAGAATTAGGTTAGCCACCCAACGGATTAGCGGTCCTGTCTATTCAAAACTCCTGGTCTGTCCAATCAATTTTTTAGAAAATAACAAAAGTATAAATTTAAATATATTAAAAAAAAAATTTAGTCAATTCAATATGTCAAAACAAACAATCAGACCAGCCAAAACCAGTCAAACATTAATTTTAAATGTATTTTACCAAATCACTCTATACCTCCTAACATGATTCATTCATTTAGAGAGAGAGAGAGAGAGTACTTGGATGGAGCGCATGCGTTAGCCGTCTTATTATAAAACTGATGCTCATCGATCCAAGATCTAACAGCGTCCACCGGTCTCCAATCTAGGCCACCACCCCAGAAAATATTCTCACCATAGGGACCCATAGAGTGAATCAGCTGACAATCCCCACGCCTATGCTCTGCATATCGCCTTGCATACTTAGCGATCGTCCGATCCCACACCAACGGCGGCTCTTGCATCCCAATCCTCACCTTATTGTGGTGCGTCAAGAATTCTCTAGCATTGGCTTTTCGCCCATTTCCGATGAACGGTGGAAGTTGGGCTTCAATGAGAGTGTTCAGAGAGAGAATGAGTAAGAGAGAGAGGGGGAGGAGGAGAGAGAAAGAGTTGGTGGTGGTGGTGGTGGTGGTGGTCCGGAAGTGTGCCATCAGGAGAGGGACTCCTAGTTCCCCCAAGGGGGGAGCTATAGGGAAAGGTAGTGGCTTAAAATGAGAGAGAAGGGGAGGGAAGTGTTCTTGGTGGTGTAGTTATAGGTTTAAGGAGAGAGCGGTTAATTAGGCAAGAAGCAAGGGAGATGGGGTTGTCCTTCCTATATAAAGCCAAAAGATTTCCTACTACCTCGCGGTTATAATTTGTATTTACTCCCTATGCACCATTCAACCTATATATTAAGCTCAATAAAAAAAATCCTAGTCATACCCTCTATGTACATGAAAAAGATAATATACAAGATTGAAAAGAGACTATCCATTTTTTAGATGATGAGTTCTAAGTGTTAGAAAACTTAAATTTGAATTTGCTTTTTTAAGAATAATTATCTAGTAATTTTTAAGTAACTCCCAAAAGTTTAGATAGAAAAAATTCTCTCAAGTAGATCTTTTGACCGAAGGACTACTTATAAAGAGACTACTTACCATTTGTACATGGAGGTAACAATCATTCTTATCTCTTAAATTTCAAAATTTAAATTTCAAAATAGTAGTGGTAAGAGTGTCATTGATTAGATAAAAAGTTCTCAAAAAAATATTATTGGACTTTGTGATATCCAATTTAATATCTAATGAATGAGAATAGTTGTTATCTCTTTGTACCAAAATTAAATAGTCTCTTCAGTATATATATATATATATATAAAATAAAAAATAAATAATCTCTTTATAGACCGTCCTAACAATCCCAAAACATAACTAGTTCTGTAGACATCTCGTAACATTGTAACATTGTCTATGTCGGATGTAATGGAATACAAGTGTCGAGTGGTTAGTTTTGGTAGGGGTGCTACAGGTCATAACGGTTGGTTTTGGAAAGGGTGTTATTGAACCGTTTACTAGTTTGTGGGGATTTCTATGGTCAAAGGAAACGAGGTAGTTTGTGGGGATTTGTATGGTC